TTTCCCTTTTTTTCTTTTTATTGTCCTTCAGAAGTCTGTGTGGGGAGACTCCTCTGCCTTTGTGCGACTTTGAGGCTGCAAGAGATAAAAAGTAATAAAAATCTGCAGCTGCAGCTCTTTTTTCTTAAGTGCACGTGAACATCCTTTGAAAATATTTTTGGAAGATACGTGGCATCTAAGGCCACCTGTTAGTCCATTAGAAAGTGAGAACAAAATCCCACTGGCAGAGCACAGCTCAGCCTGGGGCTCCGATTCTCCTGAACAGTGTACTTTGGCTGATTTTTGCTATGGAACAGTAAATCTGTGTTGACATCAGCCCCAGCCAGTGGAAGGACCCTGAGATTTGTCTCATTCTCTCTGAGTGTGCACAGAAGTGCACGCTTGCGTGTGTGCTAACCCATGTACAGCTGCTATCCAGTGGAGCTGCATCTGGAAGAGATGGATTAGGTCTAGTGGGAATGTGCATGCCGTATCCTTTACAGAAGGAAGCAACGTGTGACTCATATTTCAGCCAAGAGGCAAGTCAGTGGAGCTGTGAACCCATTGCTTCCATATCCCACTGCCTTCAGGCTTCCAGGGAACCCAGAAGCTTCTCAGTTCCAAGAACTGAGCTGCCAAGTATTGGACTGCATCATCACATCTTCAGTGTGATGGTGGGCTGGCATGAAGCTCGCTTCATTACAGCCAGGGCCTGCTCTTCTAACTCCAGGGTTGTGCCTTTGAAGACCAAGGTGTGACTGTGCCGGAGATATCAAATCTAGTCTCATAGGTTGGTGAGTCAGTAGCATGGCATGTGGCGCGTTGAGGGGGTGTTGTGTGGAATTGTAATCTTTTAATTATTCATAGTAATTAGCAGAAGAGATTCCCAGGAGTGGTAGGATGAGGGATAGCAGGACAGACAAGTTAGAAAGACTGTATTCAAAGAAAAGTAGGTTTTATGACCAGCTAATGGGATAAAATATCTTCCATCCCCAACTCTTCTCTGATAGTGAGATTCACTTCCTTCTGTGATGAATTACTTGCCTTTGGCCAGAGAGATCCCAGTATCTCTCAGCCTTACTGAAATCTGCTGCCTCTTCATCCAGACTGACAGCAAATCTGCAGTTCTTAATACCATCTTCAACCCAAGCATTAATGAAATGAAGCACCTGGTAAAGACTGTCTCCATAAGAAGCTTAGCGCTGAGCAGCCTCCTGCCTGAGCTCAGCTCCCGAGATGCCTCTTGTTTACACCCTGGTTTAGTGCACACTGACACGTTACGTGATCTATCTCGGGACAAGCCACCTCGTCCCAGACGCTGCTGGCAAAGGCTGACCCGTGACAAAGAGGGTTTCTCTGCGCATAGTGTTACTCTGCTGCGGCTGTCCCTGACCGACTCTGTGCTGGGGTGAGGGTGGCTGATTCTAGCCTTGCGGCAGTTCATACACTGAGGCTTGGGGCTATTCGGGAACAGCTGTAGAACTTGGGACCGTCTCTACCTGAAGCAAATTCCAAGCATAATGAGACCTAACACTGTGCTACCCCGGGTCTCTTATTTAACTGTGATCTATTTTGTGTGTGTGGACTTGTCTTGGAGTCACAAATAGTAACTTCTTGTAGCTCTTCTGGAAGCTTAGGGTATTAGCCCCAACTGGCTCAATTCCAGCCACAGTAATTGCATTTTGCATTGAAATCCCCCTGCAGTTTCCATCAGATGGAGTGTGCCTTTTTGCAGTGAGCCTCACTGCTCTATACTGCAGAACATCGAGCAAATACCACCTCAGACATGGCTGCGTTTTACACAGCGAGTAAAGTGCACCTTGCACTTCCCAAAGTTGGCAGGTGCTTTGGTCTGAATGGTGCTGTCAGGCTGTGTTGTTGTGGTGGGAGCCCAGGAACATTCTTGTCTTTATTACAGTGCCTTCTAGCTATCAGTAATTCAATCACTGGTTAACATGATCTTCCAGTTTAATCCAATAAAGACCTTATGGTCAGGTTATGTGTACTAAAAACAATGAGGGTCACCCTTTTTCTGAGCTGTCACAGTTGCTTTAAGCAGCTAATAGTGGCAAGTACAGGGTAGGGAACCTTCTGGGGCAGTAGCTGAGACCGGCTCTTCTGAATGAAGGAGAAGCAGAAATGTAATGAATTAAATGTCTGTGCTTTGGCACAGTGCCGAGTCTTGACCCACCTGGTGTCAGGGAAGTTTCGGTATTGATTTCAGGGGAAGCAGGACGTCACCTAAATGGCAGCTTTTGTGGAGGTTTGGAGCTCACGTTCACCTCTCCCAGAGCAAATCATCTGTCCGGGCGAAGGAGATGAGTCTGTGCGACTCAAGCCTAGGTCTGCTGGGAGATGCAAAGGGCAGGACTTGGAGTGACAGGAGGGCTGTGCACGATGGTTTCTTTAGAAAATAGTGCCTGAGGGTCTTTGCAAGAGAGCTTGGAAGGGAAGAGCTGGGGGGTGGTTGAGGGGGGCGAAGACAGCTGGATGGTGCCATGTGAGTAATATCGCTACTGATGGAAAGCATTAAGTGCGTAGCTAAGGATGTGGTGGCAGAGAGGTGAGGTGGAGGTGTGGAATTTCATATCAGCGAACCAGACTCCCAGGAGGATGGTGTGACTGAGAAGCTCTGGGAGGAGACATGACAGGGAGCTGCGGCTGCACTCTGCTCACCTGGTCCATCCCTGCTAAACTGTTTGACCAGAGGTACGGGACAGTTTTGTGGCTCCGGCGGGCAGCTCTCCTGAGCTGTCCCTCCCTGTGATCAGGCTGGCTCTGCTGTGGCTCGGCTGCTCTTGTCTGTGGCTGGAAGGGGTACATGGCACATGCCACCTCTGTGTGTGGCCACAAGTTCCCCTTGTGCTCCAGCCTAGATCTTGGTGGGAGTCAAGAATAGCTGAGAGTGTCCTTAGGCAAAGGTGATGGCAGGTTGGATCACTGATCCTTGGAATAGCATCTCCTATGACAGGGCCTTGTTTTAGGGGCAGACCCCTCACTCTTCACCCACAGCATCTCAGGGCAGGTGGGGTTGCTGCTGAGATTAGTGATTTTGGTGCAAACTCTGAGAATCCCTGCAGCAGGAGGGGCAGCAGAGCCCTGTGAGATGCACTAAACCTTCACCATCTGTCTGAAGACGGTCCTGACCTAATGTCCTCAATCCTGTGGTCTGTGGCTGTTCCTGCTGTTAACCACCATCCATCTAGCAAGGTGACTGGGTCTGGAGGCACTGGGATGTGTATCTGTTGGTCAGGGCCTTTGGGAAGACCAGTACCAGACAGCAGAGGGGAGATATCTTTTGTTTGTGCTGCTGCTGATTGTTCTTACCAGTGTCGTTGTCCTCTGAGGGAGCATCACCAGGTATGCTGTTGGGTAGCAAAAATATTTTAATCCCAAGGTCCTTGGGTCTCGGTGAGATTGGGTGCTCTCTATTGAAACATAGCGTCAGAGCAGACATGGCTTCTGCCAGTGTTGATCAGCAAAGTTCTGTGTCCTGTTTGCAGCCAGAACTGGGGGACAGTCACCACATCCCTATGCTGAAGGTCAGTGGCTGGATCACACTCATTTTTGGGGATCATCTGGAGGGAGCCGCTGACAGCGTGAAGGGAATGAACAGTGGGTTAGGGAAGCCATTTGCCAGCTGAACAGGAGCATCTTTGCACCTCCTGCTTGAGGTGGAGGGAGCAGCATGGTTCTCTGCTGGGAAGACTGGGACGGAGCATGCAAGAGCAGCATGGGCAGTCCTGGTCGCTGGGGAATATCCAAGGCAAGAGATGTGTTTGCTGACATGACCCTCCCTGCCTGGGAGCTCACACCCCTCTGGCAGCAGCAAGCGATGGAGTCGGGGATGCACAGAGATTCCTTGTGCACATCTCCTCTGTGAGGCATCCAGACAGCTGCTGCCCACTGTGCTCAGCGGAGCGTCTGCTTCAGCAGGCGGGAGAGATGGGGGCCGTGGGGATTTCAGGCAGACACTTAATATCAATAACCATAGACAGGGCAGGGTGCTCATTTCTGGCTGGGGAGGGATCGTCTGCCCTTTCTCGGCCAGAATATGTGCTGTGCTTGTCTGGGGGAGAAAGGGAGTTAATTGGGATGCAAACTGCTGGATTTATGCCTGCCACTTGGAACTGAACGCAGCTCATCTTACAGCTGCTCTCCTTATCCTGGGATCCCAGCTCCGTGCTGAGCTTCCAGAATAAACCGCTGCCTGCTCTGGCCTTAATTTGTGAGGTGCATCTTCTCCTTCCGCATCTACATTTGTCTGGCAACATCACACATGCGTTCGTGGTCAGAGCCACCGAACAGCAAAGGGCTGAAATTGGAAGGAGGGGGGTCGGATTTGGCTCCAGTGTCTGGATTCTGTTTCCCTGCAGCAAAACTGTCCCTTAATGACACGGGAGACTCATAGTGCAGATGTCTGTGGGATGGCTTTTCTGCTGTGAAGTGCTGTGCATACTGAAGTTCTGCATTTCAAAGATGGCCAGGTTGATTCAGGTTTTGGTGCTACTACTTGGCTGTGGCGGAGTAGGATTTGGTTTGCTGTGCTTTTGTTTCTCTTCCCTAGTATTTCTCATTTAACTTGTGGCTGACTACGGCTACCACCCCATGTTTTTCTGAATCCCATCTGAAACGAATTTCTGTGTCCCGTCCTTATTCCTAACACTCTCAACTTCACCTGAAAGATGACAGGTGTCAAAACTGTTATTACTGTCTGGGAAAATGCCTCAGGACAGGAAGGCGTGGAGAAAATTAATGTGTGAATTATCCCTAGGGAAAGTGGGTTTGCTGGGATGGAACATGGAGCTGGGGAAGCACAGGAGGTTGCACTGCACTTGTCAGACAGGATTGTTCTTTCCAGTGGTAGGCTACCCTCTCTTAGAGTGTCTCTGCCATTTGACCCCATCTGTGACTAGGCACATATAACTCTGCCTTTCAGAGTTCATGGTTACTTGGGATGTGACATGAAATGTTTGGATCTCTTTTTAGATTACAGCTTTCCTGCTGTGTCTCAGAAGACCCTGCTGAAAGGCAATGGGACACAGGTGAAAGACAACTGGGAAACAGCCACCGTCCAGCCGCCAGCAGAATTTGTTGAGCCTGACTTGCACACGCCTTTCTCCAGCACGTTGGAGGAAGAGGAGGGGCTGCTCCCTATAGACCACTCAAGAGGAGGAGTGGGGAACCTCCAGACCTCTGGGCCAGAGGTTACATCTTCTGAACCAGTGGGCCAAGAGGATTCCTTCTCCCTTCTGTTTTCCACAGCCTCTGCTGGGCCAGATATTGTGACCAAGGCAGCCGTAGGAGGGCAAGAAGAGGACTCTGTTCCTCCAGGCTTAGACCTTGGGAGCAGCATGGGACCAGGTCTTCTGCCTGTGTCCTCTTTTTTTTCTGCTACTGTTGCTTCAAGGTCTCCCAGCATTTCAGAAGAGCCCTTCGAGGTAACAACTGAGGACACGTGGGCTGTTGGAGGAGCAGATTCGGAGCTGACTGTGACTACCACAAGAGCAGAGTTTGCAGAGACCACAGTGGAGGCTGGTGGGGAAGAGAATTTGGATAGAGAAGAGATCTCAGAGACTACGGTGGGGTGGGAGATGCTGGAGCCTACAGCGCTAACTGAAACGGAGCAGACAGTGGAAACGCCTGTGGGGACACCCTCTTCTGGAGGCAGCTCCCCAGGCACCCAGACTCTTCCTGAGAGTGAGCAGCCCCCCACTTCTGCATCTCCATGGGACAGGACTGATGAGCCTGTGCTGGATCCCATTTGGAATGACACCGAGTCAGCCACCGAGACTGTGGGAGCAGAGAGGAGCTTGTCACCACAGGCTGGGGATGCCCGCATGGCCATGCTGCCAACAGAGCCGCCCTGGGACTCGGCACAGGTAGCCCTGGGAACAGGGAGTGGGTGGGAGGCTGCCATGGAGATATTTAGGTACCTTTTTCTTGGTAGGTGGTTAACCCTTTAACCTTACCCACGTCCCTGAGTCTGACTGGTGGAAGCAGCTTCTTCTGTTCACCCAGCCAAACCTGAATTTTGGGGAGTTTTTCACAGCACTTTTTAAGGGTATTCATCATCCTTGGTGAAATCCCTGCTCCCTTGCATCTTCCCCAGCAAACTGCTGTACAGAATCCTGCTTCTAATAAACACCTGCCCTCTGGGGCATCCACAGCCACGAAAGCTCCTTGTTTCCTCAGCCTCCATTATTGGAAGTGTCAGGACAAAAACGGCCCTGAGGATTTCTGAAAAGGGCGTGAGAAGGAAGTGCTATTTTTGCTGCTGCCTGCAGGGACCAGATGCAGAGCAGGTGGAGCAGGGTACAGTGGTCTGTGAGGATATTGGTCTAAGGGAGCCTGTGGGAGAGGAGGTGTGAGGTGAACTGCAGTTCCTGAATCCAGCAAACAGGCAGCTGGTTAAGGGAGGATAGGTAGTGGGAGCTGACTGGTGAGAAAGTACCAGGGAAAGCTTTTAATTTTGCTTTCTGCCCCACAGTACTCAGCAGCCTGAGCAAGTCATTTAGTCCCTCTGTGCATCCAATCCTGCCTGCAAAGTGCTGCCCTGTCTCACCAGTTTAAGGCCCACAGAGGCTCCTGGTTAGGTTTTGTGTTAACTGATGGTGACATACAGAATAAGACTGCAGGCTGGAGTGCTTTCCACTGGGTGCTGAATACTCCTGGAGTCTAGATGGAGGTGGAAGGTAGGCTGGGCTGTGGCAAGCTGGCACAGCAACTTTGTCCGTGCCCCCTGCACTAGCACTGAAATAGTGATTCCTCCATGGTACAGAGAGTTAGAGGACAGCTACTTCCTTTGAGAAGTGCTTCTCAGGTGTGTGGCACAGCCACTTGCTCCTGTCCCTTCTGTATGCCATGCTTTCAACAGGAGAGCTGCATTCCCTACCTGAACCCTGCTGTCTTTGTCTTGTCTCTCCAGGTGATCTGCAAAGACTGGAGCAACCTGGCGGGGAAAAACTACATCATCCTGAATATGTCGGATAACATTGACTGTGTAAGTCGGTCTGAAGAGATTTGATGGCGAAGGGGGAATCGTGCTTAGAGAAGTGGAGGCAGGCACAGCTCCTGCTGTCTGCTTTCACTGCAAAACATTTAAATCTCAACTTCCCTGTAGAGGCTGTGGAGAGAAATGGAGGAGGACAGAAATATTCCAGTTCTCCAAAAGGGAAAAGAGTGGGTGGAGAGAGATGATTTTACTCAAAGTCTGAGCAAATGTCAGTCCCATACTGGATTTTGACTAACTTCTGGCTGTTAGTCAGTGCCAGTCAGTACCTGGATTGTCATGAGACATGGGAGCCTTTAATGTTGCACCTCTCACTGGTAGGAAACGTGGCAGGATTGAAGTGTGATTCTCCTTCCTGCTCTGCCTCTTGCTTCCCTTCCTGCCAGGATATAGTAATGTTCCCCTGATGGCTCAGAGGAATTAGGGACTCCCCATTTGCCGTGTGAATGGTTCAGTGTCAAGCAGCTGTCACTAAATCTTCCTTAAGTGCCTCTTCTCCCCACCCTGTTATCTCGTGTGTTATCTGGGTCTGTTAACCAGCCACGCTCTGCTAATCCAATGCCTGTCCATCCATCCCTGTAAAGCTGCCGTTAATTCATGAGCCCAGCGCCCCTTGTGCATCCCTGGTAAAAGGGCTCGTTCACCTCTGCTGGGCCTTTTATCAGGCACTTTAAAACCAGTTGTGAAAGGCCTAGGGTCAAGGTGTCTTTCATAATTCTAAGAAACGATTACGAGCCTGACAGCCCGAGACCAAAATGTTTCATCTGGGAACTGTTCTGGCCTCGCGTGTCTGCGCGCTCGCGGCGTTCTGCCGCTCCTGCTCTGGACAGAGCTGGCTGGGTTTGTTTCTGCAGGGTGGCTCTGTAGCACTGACCTATTTCCACTGCTGGTAAGTTGTTGGGGTGCGTTGCTTTTTTTTTTTTTTTAAGTTGAACTTTTTGAGGACAGGGAAAAGGGGAATTCTTGTGTGCAATGAAGCATGCTGGTTGCTTTAAGGGTAGATGAAAAGTCAGTCTCTTTACTGCTGATTTAGGCAAACCAGATTGCTCTTTGGAGGGTTTTCAGTATCTCTGCTACAGTTCACAATTGCAACTCGGAAAATGAGTCCTTGAAAAACCAGAGTCCTGCTGCCCTGTTTCCTCCGTGTGCTAATCCCCATTGTGCTTTCTGCCACCTCTGTAGAGTTTAAATGCTGGTTAATTTTGTAATACGTAGTAGCTCCCTTCCCGTGGTCACTTGCACTCGTGTTGTTTAAGCCACTGGAAGAGCAAGAACTGAAAAAACAGATGTGCAGATGTCTTTTGACCAAATTGTGTCTGCTGTGAATCCTCAGTTCTGCCATGCTGAAAGAAGACAGTGCCCTGGGATAGGCAGGACTGAACTGTTTTTCTACTTGATTTCATGTTTCAAAACATATTTCCTGGCGAATGATTTGTGCTGTCCTCCCCCTTACTCAAAAGGGCACTTGTCAACATACATATTTAACACGAACATCACTTTGTTCCCTGCCTCCCATTACCACTTTGCATGGCTGAAGCTGGAATCAAGCTCTTTGTTTCTTACCCTTGGTAATTTGCTCAGTTTGGGCAAGCAACTCACCCTCTGCCTGTCCCTTTTGTTTTCTGGTTTCTGTATCTGAGCCCTGTGGTGTTTGGATTTCCAGGGTTGCAAGGGAGAACCTACACTGCAAGTGCTGTGGTTTAACTTTAGCGTGTGTGTGGATTCCTCACATACTTCCTACATTTTGATGCCCTGATCTGTTGCGGTACCGAGTCCCACTGGAAAGCCAAGGGACAAGGAAGGTTCTTAGCTCCTTCCAGAGGGTTGCACCTTGAGCAATTCATATTCCCCGTAGCACCAGGCTTTTACCTGCTGCAGGGATGATGCCTGTATTGCTGTGTTAAACTGGCAGCCCCTTTATGTTCTTAATGGGCTCTGGGCAAAGATGTCACTTCAGTCTCTCCCTGGGCACATCTCCCACTCGATATACCTGGGAATTTTGCCCAAGTGAGGGCTGCAGGATCTGACCCAACAGTGGTACCTGGTTGCGCATCGGGAGGTGACCTCCTCAGTGCGTGTGCGTTCAGGCTCCTTCACAGCTCCTTCTCCACCATGGAGAATTTATCAGTGCTCTGCAATCTCTGCTTTCCCCATCACTGGAAACATTTCACCTCTGTCCCCCTCCTGCGCTCAGCTGCTCCCACTTTCCCCACATCCCCCAAAATGGAGCTGTGGGCTGGCGGCGGGCTGTGGGCTGGAGCCGCAGCTGAGCAGTGTGGCACTGCATCCTCACGCTGCTCCTCCTGCCTCCCGTGCTGAAACCCTTAACCCGATGAGACAAGGCACTGGCAGGCCCCTGTGATTCAAGCCCCAGTCATCGGTGTCTTTTCCAATTAGGCCTTTTTCGGCACAGGCCTGTGCCTGCCCTGAGCGCTTTGAATTGCCATGGCAACAAGAGCTCTCCATTTTATTAATCATCTGTGTGGCCTTCAAGTTGGCATGGCAACTGGAGATAAGAATAGAAACACAGGAGTGAGAAAGCGGCAAAGGAGCCCGCGGAGGGATGACTGGAGCATGTCAGACTGAGCAGCTCCCGCTGACCCAGCGCTGGCTGTGGGAAGAGCCTGGCTGCTCCCTTCTTGCCTTACAGAGTGATGTCACCTCAGGATCCCGGTGTGCTGGGGGTCGGGGCTTGGCACAGTGTGGGGCGTATGGTGCTGCAGGAGCTGAGGAGGAGGGTTGGTGTGTCAGATATATGTGGGTCCAGCCTGGGATGCTGGGGATGTGCAGGGGAGTGTGGCACCAGGGTTAGCATTGCTGGCTCTTGGGCACGCCTGGTTCGGGGGTCTGGGCTGTGCAGCCTGCCAGCCCTGCAGTGCTACATCTGCCCCATTCCCTCCATGCGCTCACCACGGTCCCTTTCCTGTGGCAGGAGGAGTTTCGGCTGGAGAGGGGTCCCCAGCTGCTGGCACTGGTGGAGGATGCCTTCTCCAGGCAGGCGGATGGACTGCAGGACCGCTGGCTGATCTCTCTGAGCAAACCCAATGAGAACGACAAGCACTTGCTAATGACACTGGCAGGGGAACAGGGTAAGTGCTGGGAGAAGCAGCCTTCCCGTGATGGGGGCTATATTCAAGGAGCTGTCACAGGGAGGTACTCAGCCTGGTTGGAAGAAGCTTTTGCTCTCCAGTCCATTTGAATCCCACCCGTTCCCAGTGTTAACAGGACTTCAGGGATGGAGAGAGACTGAGGACATAAGACACCTTTTTTTTTTTTTTTTGCATCTGCCTTCTGGCTTGTCCCTCACGGCTTGCGTGAAGCTCTGTCTTCTGCTTTGCTCCCTCCCTGGATTGTCTTCACTCGAGCATCTGTCAGCTTTCTCCCAGTGCTTATATACTCTCCTCTGTGGGCAGGCCGCTGCAGTGGCAGGACATGACAACCTGCTCTTGGCTCGCTACTTAACGGTTCTTAAGTCTTGTCTGAACTGAGTGAGTCCTGATGCCTCCCCTGCATCCCTAAAGAAACAAAACCTGACCGTGAAAAGTGGGCTGGAACATTTTACCCTCACTTTAATCCCCTTCTGGTAGGGGGGTGCTTTTCCTGTACTGCTTCTGCTGGCTGCTTAGTGACAGGGGCCTATAATGGTGACATGGCCTATATGAAAAAACCCCAACAGTATTCTAAAGCGCTCCACAATGACAGAAAAATAGATCCAACATTTAAGTGGTATTTGCTGTATTGATGCCTTAAATCATTGCATCTCTCCCAAGCCCTTGTGCTGGACCAAGCACCAATGAAAAGGCTTTGGTGAGCATTCGGTCTTCTAAACTAAAACTTTCACACCATCATGAGATGGGACATTCTGGAGAGGAAAGCAAGTCTCAACTCCAGCAGCACAGCCAGGCTAGGAAATATCGCTGAGTTTAGAGATCTCAGGAATCAAAGTATTTTCTGCTCTGGAGAATCATGCTTTTGTTCAGTTCCTCTGTTAACTGCTGTGCAAGTGAAGGGAGAAATGAGCCTCAGTCTCTAAATCCTCCCTGACTGCTCCTGCTCTCCTGGCTGGGAGAGCATCCTGGGAGCTGTTAGGGATGGGGCTCCCAGGAGGAGGTGGCTCAGAGTGGTCTGGTGGCTCCCTGGCTGGAGCTGTGTGCTGCTGGGAGCAGAGCTGTTGCAGCACACCTCCTGCAGCCTCTGCTGTTGTGCCAGGCACCACCTTGCTGAGGTGCTCAGCAGAGCAAAACACACCTGTGAAGGTTGCGATCGGTGAGTGCAGAGCTCCGAGGGAACATCTGGAATGTTGCAGCTCAGGATCAAGTTGCTCTGGGCAGGGAGGCTGGATTGGGCAGCATAGGCACCTGCCTCCATGACTTTTTGGGGGTTGCTGCTCAGTCCCAAAGCAGAGACAGATCCTGAGAACTGCTGTGGCTGCAGAGAGGGTACCTAGATACCTTTGGTGTCAATTCATGCATGGATTTTTTAACTTTTTGAAGAATATTTGGAGGTACCCTTGGCTGTGGTCAGTTTGTTCTTTCAGCCTCCTAACATAACGTACCAATGAACAAAAATGTGTATTCCTCTGCCTCCATCCTGCTGGGAATTTCAGACTGATGAGTACATCTGACTGAGCTAACCTGAGTCAAGAGCAGCACTGATCTCTTCCTCTCCTTCTTTACAGGTGTTATCCCTACAAAAGATGTTCTCATGGCACTGGGGGATGTTAAGAGGAGCTTAGCCGAGGTAAGATCCTGTCTGTCTGCATCCATTTGTTAAGACTAGCTATACAATTAAAATAAGCAACTTGAAAACTGGGAGCATATCTCAGTCTGAGTGTTGAACCCACAGCAGGCAAACAGATGAGTCAGACACTTGGCAAACTCTCTTCTCCCCTCTCTGGTAGTTGCCAGGCCATCAAATGTCTGCTCCCGTTAAGAGAGTAACTATGGGTTATTCCCTCCCTGCTTTTATGGCTTGGTTGTGAAGCTGCTTTTCACACATTCATTTTGTTGGGATACTTGGTTTCATTCCTCCTACGCTATTGCTGGTGGCAGTGTGGGTGCTGCAGACCCCCAGATTTGGCCCTCCTCACCCTATAGCTGATTTACATCAGTAGATGTAAGCTCTCAGTAGCTCAGGCTTTGCTGAAGGAGGTGGGAGAGATGCCTGTGCTAGACAGGACACATTCACACACCACCTTCCTGCAATCCCAGGGTCTGCATTTTACTCCTTTAGACATCTGCCTGCACAAGGGTAGCAGAGGACCAGAGGCAATGGGTGTCAGACTCCTCTGCAAGCTGCTTCTAGCCCTCATGTGTTCCCCTCTAACATGGGCGGCTTGGAAGAGGGTAGAGATGAGGGCAAGTTAGTTCCATGATCTGTGACTTTGCCCCTTAGGCCTACAGGATATGTAGGCACTGAGGGCCTGGTTCTGCTTGGGTTTTGTACGCTGCTGGAGTGATTCTGCTGATTTTTAGTGACAGAGTTGGGCTACTGCCTTGCTGGCTGCCTGCTCTTGGGTTTTTCCTTGGCTTAACAAATTGGTGCAGTTAAAGCAAATTAAGTGTTCGGTGCTGTATTGATTGGCTTACACCAGAGAGTGCAAAAAGCCAACCCTGTAGAAATTGTGACACTGAAGTATCAGCAGCTAGAACTGTCCAGGAAAGAGGATTCGTGTTGGTGCAAGGTTTGACTTTGCAACTGTGACCCTCTGTTAAGGTGCATCCTACTAGAACAGCCTCGCCAGACGCCTCCGACTCTCCGGCCCTGTCAGTAACGAAACTCTGCTCATTGGACTGACTTTGCTCTAGCATGAGACTGGGAGGAGGAGGGAGGATATTCTCTTACACCCATCATATGGAATTGATACGTAACCTGTTTGAAATCTGCCAAGTCACTGGGACTGATGTTGGCCTTTGCTGACAACCACAGGGGGCCCGTTTCCAGGGCAGCTATTTCTAAGCTTTTTGGATCAGCAGGCAGCTGTCCACTTTCAAGACCTCGGAAAGACTACTATGCCCTCTTAGGACCAGAGCTTTAATGGAAACTTCTTTGTTATGGTTATGTTCTCTGTCAAACAGTCACCAAAGCTTCAGCACCCCTCAGTAGTCCACAGTTTATCCTGGGCAGTTTTTTCAATGAAAGCCTCCTTGTCTTGCACATAGATGTGATCTCTGTGCAGGTGATCAAGATAGGATTGTGCCTACTGTCCTCATTTGCTGACATGTCAGCTTTCGTGGAAGATGGTGTTCTATTTAGTTATGTGCCTTCTAGTCATGTAAGACGGTGCACCCTGACAACCCTCTGCCCACAGTGATGGTGCTGTACTTGGATCCTGGAAAGTCTGAACAGGATCCCACCTGACTGCAGATTTAGTGTACCCCTTTCTTCCTTCCAGATTGGCATCCAGAACTACTCAACCACCACAAGCTGCCAGTCACACCCCAACCAGACACGCAGTGATTATGGGAAGCTCTTTGTGGTACTGGTGATCATTGGCTCCATCTGTGCCATCATCATTGTACTGGGGCTCATATACAACTGCTGGCAGAGGCGCCTGCCCAAGATGAAGAACATGGTGAGCACTGGGCGAGTGGAGAAGGTGGCCAGGCTCTTAGCCCTTGGGGAGAAGAGGATTGGAAAGTTGAGAGGAAATTGTTTTCCCCTGTCCACTTACTGGACATAGCTGGATACTGTGCTGGAGCAGCAAGGGAGCCCATTCAGGCATAAGAGAGATGCAAACCTGTCTCTTGCTGTGCTCAGGACAGATTGTTTCCACAGAGGGCTGGGCTAGGGGTAAATTCGCCCTTTCCCACTGACCCCACAAAGTCCTCGGTGACCCTTATAGCCTGGTCTGGTGGTGCTTCTCAGCAGCATTACGACCACTCCTCCTTTGTCTCTGTCTTCCTCTTGTCCTTTGCAGTCGCACGGTGAGGAGCTGCGCTTTGTTGAGAATGGCTGCCATGACAACCCCACCTTGGACGTGGCCAGTGACAGCCAGTCGGAAATGCAGGAGAAGAAGCCAAGCGTGAACGGTGGAAACACCATCAATGGCCCCGACAGCTGGGATGTCCTGATCAATAAGCAGGCGAGCGAGGATGTGGATGTGTTTGAGGAAGACACACATCTTTAGAAAAACAGGGGAGGGAACCACCTCCTTAAATGCATTTGTCTCCTGTCTTGACTGTTGGACCACGGGATCAGGTGGCTTCTCAGGAACTTCTTAAAGGCTTGGGACAGGTCAAGTCTTTGGGCAAGTTTTCTTGATAGAAGTTCTGAGCCTGCGTCTGAGGCTTGGAGCCAGGAGGATCACTGAACAGAGGGAAGCGGGAGGGGTGGGTGTGTAGGTCTCTCTGTGTGTATTTCTATCAGTAGCACCAATGCTTTCATCACCTTTAAATGCACTTACTGTAGCTCTCTGGTAGTGGCTGAGAGTGGCTGGGCTTGAGAAACAAGGGAGTGAGGCTAATCTGCCACTGAGAGTCCAGCTTTGGGGAGTAAATTCACTTTGGGAGTCTAGTGGGAGCTGTGGCAGCCAAGATCCTGACCCTGAGATCACGTTCAGTCCCTGCAGGCGCAGTAAAACCTGTGCATTCTGAGTGGAGGGAGCCAAGACTCAGTCAGTGTCCTGGGCAAAGTTTGCATTCAATGTGTGGAAAGAGATTGATTTTTTTTTTTTTAATTTTTTTTTTTAGTGCTCTAGCATTCAGCTGTTAATTAGCTGCACTGATGTTTACATCTGGAGGAAGCATCCTGCTGTCATCTCATTTCCCCCCTTGCACCGCAAACAGCCTCGCTCCCGTTTTCAGCTCCACAGTTCCAAGCTGAGTTTGCAAATTTTGAGCACTTTACCCTTGCTTGACTGATTGCAGAGAATTTGGTGCCATGGTGCAGCATCTTAGCTGGAAACTTGCTTTAGGTTGGAGAGTTGCTCCAAAAGGACATTCACCTGCCTCTTTCATGCAACAGCCTGTGAAACCAGCAGCAAAGTATCCCTTATCTAAGTCTCAGTTCTAGACTGTCAGGCCTTTTCCATTCCTGTTCTGTTTTCCAGGGTAGTTTGGTTTCAGTTGGTCTTTTTGAGGTAAATATAAAGACTATGTGAGACCTTTTAGACAGGGAGAAAAGTAAAAACTCAGATAAATTTCTGGTCCTTTGTTTCCTTATCGGCATCCTGCCCTGAGGGGAATAAGTGTTTCATGTCCCAGAGACGTAAGTTGGGGTAACATCTTTAAAATCACTGCATTTAAGCAAGTGTAAAAGCCAGTTTAGATGGGATGAGAATCAGATCCGAGAGCTCCCCAATGAACATTTCTCAGGCACGCCTCAGGCAACTTGGAGACTCCAGCTCCCTGAAGATGTGTCATAAAAGGCACGTGAATATGCATAATTGTTCTCTGAGCCCTGCCTAAACTGAGACTCAGAACTACTATCAAGCCTGAAATCCCAGAACGTTTGTTTCGTTTGTCATGGAGGGATTGAGGGCCTTGCTTTGGTCAGAGGCAACAGTATTCCTCTCTGTTACAGTGATCTGCATGCTTGCTTACTGCGAGGTGCAGCTTCTCATTTGGTCTTTAAGGGAACCTTTGTACAGAAAGACGCCAGGTATGCAGCCTGATGCCGAGCCTGTAAATCTACCCCCGTATGTATAGATATTTTTAGCATGTTCATCTCTGATGTGAGTGCCTAAAGTCAAGGTCCAAGTGTCTGTTGCTTCATTTTGCATAGCGCTTTGCATACAAACTGAATCACAGATCACCTCGATGTAGGACCATGTTGGTATCCGTCTATTAGGGATTTAAGAAAGGTGATAGCCTTTGGTTTCCTACCCAGATTCCAATTTTCAGTGTGTTTATTCTGCCTCCATACCTTTCCCTGTGTTATATAGGAGATGGTGTCCATCAGCTCCTCCTGAATCCTGTTGGTAGGGTTGCAGAGATGCTCAGATGCGTTCCCTCTCCTGCCCCAGAGGTCAGTAACGGGGGACAGTCCATGTACAGGGACTGCCACACGTGGCTCTTCTCTGACTGCCCCTTGCTGATGGCTTGCTGAGCTTGGTGGGTCTGTGCAGTGAAACTGCACAAATTCGGTGGCTGTGTTGATGGCACTTTGGGACTCACAGGATTAAACCCAAGTTGTTGTTATGGTATGGTGAGTAAATTAAAGCATGGAGTTAAAGTTTGAGTTTGTATAGCACTTAGCATAACAGGGCCTGGCATGGCCGTGGCCTGTAGGCAGTTTCACCATATAAATGTTTCTTAAGTCCAATAATACTCATTAAATATGTTTTTAATGCCCAGTGGCTATTAAAAAGATAATGCCATCAATCAGATGTGAATCAGTTCACCCACAAAGCACTTCCTTGGTGCGCTTCATTGCTAGGAGCTGCTTTGCTGCCCTGTTTTCTCTCCACTACTAATTCAGAGAAACAACAAGGTGCTGTTAAAGTGATGCTTCTGGCTGGGCTCAGCACCTCCTGATCTGGTGTGAAGTCTTCAGACTTTAAAGAAACCAAGGGGGTTATGTGGGTTTGTTAGCTGGCAAGTTCTCCTGCTTTGCTCTTCTGGCTGCTTATGGCCTGAAGGTTTTCCAGAGACTCCAGAGCTCTCTTCTGTGTCTGGAGCATCCAGGCAGTCTTGAGAGTGTCTAGGGGTGGCCCTCACGAGGCTGCGAATGCTTTTCTGCTGTCTCTGACAGGGTTCACTTTACTGTATGATCTCAGTTTAGCTCAGAAATCTACTGGTTAATAGTGTTTCACTTTAGTCTGGTGGTACTTTTTATACCTTTACCATTTGTTTTTTCTCTGTGTCATTTTTTTGCACTAGGCTGATCTTGTTAAGTCAATTGCACTGTTGTCCTTCTCCTGCCAGCCTTGCAGAGACCGGTCATCTCAGGGGACCTGCGGGCTGGTGAGCACTGTAGAGAGGCTGTTGATAGCCCACTTACTCTTTTGTTCAGTGCTTGGGTTTCCAGCTCTGCACAGGGAGGATGTAAAGAGGAAGAGAAACTTTGTCTTAGCATTTGTAACAGGAAGCTTTTCTATCACCTTAATATAGTTAAACTTCTTTTTAACAAAAACTGTCAAAGCTGGACTTCTTGGAGCGGTGTTCCAGGCGACAGCAGATACAGGAGACAAAGTGATTTCCTGGAAAACTGTTTTCCACCTACTAGGACTTCACTGTAGTCCCATCTACCAGACGTTTGGGCTCACTGACACCTGGTGGCTGCTGGGAGTTGGAGGCGAAAAATAATTTAAAAAAACCCCAACAACCCACAACTTTTTTTCTCCCCTCTGAGCTCTGGGTATGTTTTCTATGACCTGCCTCGGCCAGTCACCTGCTTTATTCATGGGGGGCTGTTGGGCTTACCTGTGAGCAGAGGGGCCCGCACCACGCACGTAAGGGATGGTTTGTGTGAAGACATCCCCGTCAGCAAAGCAATGAGATGGGACAGTTCCTGGAGTCACCGGTCTCCAGGCCCTGAGTAGCAATGCAGGGTCTCGTCTCCATCTCTCCCCTTCCTCCTCCGGTCGCCCCCTCTCCTCCTAGGGAGCATGGTCAGAAAGCAGAGGCTCCGGCTTGAAATGAAGGTGGTTCTTCAGAGAGGGCGTCAGGTGCTGGTGCGAGGAGCTCTCTGCCCCAGGGAACGTCGGCGATGGCATCGGCTGGATGCACAGCCAAGATCAGGGTGGCTCTCCATCTCTGGGACGGTGGCCAGATGTAGTCTGGGATGGCCAAGCTGCAGATTACTCCCAGATGTTGCCCAGGTGTCTAGCACAGCGTCTATAATGTGGAGTTCAACACGTGCTAGGACTTTGTGTCCTGCAGACTTCCTTGTGGTACGTGGGGTGTAAAGAAACAATGAGAAGTGACCCGGTAGCTGTGCTGTGGAGTATGTAATGCAGGTCGAGAATACAGTTTGAGATACCACCTTAAGGATCCCTCTGGGCAAAGGATGCAGTGTGAATTGAGGATACATTATCAGACGGATTATTGCAGAATGACCTTGGAGCGTCACATCAGGATCCCACTGCAGCCCATGCCGTCAGCAGCTTGTCTGTTCCTGTCCACCTTCGCAGCCACGCAGGAGCACATCTCTCCTTCTCAGAGTGTTTGGGGCAGCTTGAACAGTCAGGGACAACAAGCACTTTCATCTGTGCTGGCTCACGAAAGCCTCATGGGCTTATCTCAGCTGACAGCCAGGCTCCCAGCGGTTCTTGGAACGTGCTTGTTCCTGCTGGACTTTGACTGTCTGCAAGCCCCAGCCCCTGCTTGGGATCGCTCCCCGAGAGCACTTGGAACCACTCGCGTCTGCCCCTGGAAGCGACAGGGATGTGGTTTTGTTTTCTTTGCAATAAAACACACCTCCTGGGTGTCTGAACACTGACCCTGTGGAGCCCTTTGCTTGGTCGCATCTGCCTGAATTCCCCCCTGCCGCAGCTGTTAGCGCAGCGTTGGCCTGGCCGCTTGTGCCGGGATGGGGGTGTCAGCCTCGCCTCCCTGCCCAGGAGCACACCCCGTAATTCTCCCATCGCAGGCTGCTGCAAAAGCCCTGAGCTATGCCAGGCGCCCGGGCTGTGGGATACTGGCTCTTCCCTGGGGTGACAGTCCCGGCCCATGGGATGCCCTCGCCCCATCCCCACAGGACTGGCCCAGGACCCCTGTTCCCTGCTGGGGTGGCTGTGGGAATGGGGGAACATTTCTAGAAGAATGTGGACATGCCCTGAAGTAATGCGTGATTGTGGGCACCTGGCTGCATCCTTGGAATTGGCAGAACAAGGCCAAAAGGGAGTTGCCCGCATTCTCCACCAATCAGTTTTAGGACCGTGATACGTTAAAAGGAACCAGTGAGTTTAAACCAAGAGATAGATAAGCTTGTGGATGTTGTGAAGAAACAGTTTCGCTTGTAACTCATAGAGTTATCTTCGCCGCCGACAAATGGACTTCAGGGCATGTCCACGTTCTTCTAGAAATGTTCCCACATCTCCCCTTTTCAGTTTTTGCACAAGCCAAATTCCTTTGATGGTGATCAGTAATCTTTTCTTCCTCAGAGCCTACAGTTCAGGCCCTGCAAATGTTTTATTATGGGCACAGTTGGCTCA